GCACTCCAAAGCGCATAACACCAACGTGCGTGTAGAGGTGTGGGACACGGCCGGGCAGGAGAAGTACCGCGCGATGGCCCCAATGTATTTCCGCCACGCCGCAGGGGCGCTGTTAGTGTTCGACGAAATATCGCTGGAGTCTTTTGGGGAACTTGAGACCGTATGGCTGCCAGAACTCTTACCTCACATGAATAACAGCACGGAGTTTATCGTTGTTTGTGGGAACAAGTGCGATGCTGTGACAAAGGCTGAACAGACGGAGAGTGTGCTGCAGGCACAGGAGACTTGCAGCGCCAAGGGTCTGACGTTCTTGCATACATCCGCGAAGAACGGGCAGAATGTGCATGAGGCCTTTGAGGGTTTGGTGGATAGAATACTGACAAAGCGTGGGAAGGAGGCTGCAGCGAGTCCTGCTGCATCGAATGGGGGTGCTAAAGCCTCCCATAGCACAAGACTGGGAAGTAATGGTTTTAATGATGGAAACAATGCGAAGGAAGGTTGCTGCTAGCAGACAACGAAGGGGAGGGGGCGAGAGAGAGAGAGAGAGAGAGAGAGAGAAATAGGGTCTATACCGGGTTTCTCTTCACCGCTCTTCCTATTGTTTCGCTTCCTCTCTTTCCCAGTCAAGCTAAGCCATCTAACGCATCGATGAGAGTTACGTAGTTGTGCCGTTTCTGCTCGTGTATCGGCAGATCTTTATTATTTATGCCTCTCTTTCACCCGTTTTGCCTCAAAGAATTTTTTTTTGTGTGCTAGAAGTGTCTACCCACCCATTTTTCGTTTTTACTTGCAGTGAACGCTGATACCTGCAAGAAGATCGGTCTATACTCTTATGTAGTCAGGGAAGGAAGAACTGCGGCTTGATTTCTTCTTTTGTATGTTGCTGTCACTTTGGGTTATCTTCTTTTTGTTGTTGTTGTTGTTGTTGTTGTTGTTGTAGATAGCTTTCGAGCAACAACTAGGTGTAGTGTCTTATTCTGACCGATACAGTCTTGCGTCTTCCTTATAGATAGGAGCAGAACTTTTTCCAATCGGTGTTGTCCGTGAGAACTTGTCACATATTACATGAGCTTCAACTTGGATGATCTTTTCGACACGAGGCCGCGGCAGCAGCAGATGGCGAACCCAGCCTACGTGCCTCCGCCACCACCGAGCGATCCGCCACCGCCGCCGGTGATTCATCAGGACCCGTTTGGGGCCAACGCGGCGCTCCCACCACCGCCACCGTTTGATGCGGCGATGGAAACACCACAGCCGTACCATCCCAACGCGTACACATCAGCGCAGACACATTCTTCCACCGTGATGCACTCCGCTCCTCCACCACAAGGCGCATCATACTACGTGGCACCAGCACCAACAGCCGGTATCCAGGCACCCTACAATAACGCACCGCCGACGTCAGTTCTGTCCCAGGCGCCGTACCATGCCTTACCGCAGCCAGCCACTATCTCACAGGCACCCTGCACTGTTCCCCCGGCGGAGGGAGGCTACAATCCAGTCTATCAAACAGCACTAGGCCCACCTGCGACACCGCCAGATGCCCCAAACAGGTCTAGTCTACCTTTAGGGGTGAATCAGGCTGTTTCTGCCCCTGAAGCGGCAGCTGTCAGTGTTGCCAACAATAATATTATGAACAAAAACCCTGCATTGGCTCAGGAGGAAGAGGACCGAAAACAACTGGAGAAAATTATTCAACTCCGCAAAGAGCTCGAGAGGGAGAGGGAGCGTGAACGACAGAAACGGGAAGAACTGGAGACATGGGGATGCCCGTCTTGCACGTACCGGAACGCGCTGGACACGAACCAATGTGGGATGTGTGACACAAAGCGCCCTGGGTATAATCCCCCGCCTAGTGTTGGCGCTTCTTCTACCACCCATAGTACACCCGTACCAGCGCCGGTTCAGCTTCCCAAAAAGGTTACTCAGCCATCTCAACCGGCAGGCCCCACTGCGTGGATTTGTAGTATGTGCTTGGCCCCAAATGAGGCACATCACTCTCGCTGCAAAGTTTGTAAGAGCTACCAAAAGAATGGCACTCCTGTTATCAGTAGCAGTGGACAAGGTACGGGCGCCGCGACGTCCCCTGCAATGCCACCAACCGCCTGGCTGTGCAGCATCTGTGGGAAGAAGAATGGCGCCAGAGATGCGCGCTGTGAAACCTGTAACAGTTACCAAAACAATGGTACACCAATCATGGAAAGTGATGTATTACCACAATCAGTGAGTGAGGCGGCTCCCACGTCATGGAAGTGCTCGGTGTGCACTTTGGAGAATCCTATTAGCAACGCGGTGTGCGAGGCATGTCAGAGTGGGCAGAGGCCACGACACCTCGCCCCGCCCAAGGCCAAAAATCACGACAAGAAGAAGTGGGAAAATACCCATTTTCACTCTAGCTCACCAAAGACATGGACCTGCCCAACCTGCACGTATCATAATGCAATTGTTCTTGAAAAATGCGAAATGTGTTCAACTGGACGTCCCCCACATCTCAAGCCGCCGCCACCGCCTCCGTCCACATCGGCCTCAAAGAAGGAGACTTTTGATTCAGGTGACGAGATCCAGTGGCAGGACGACACGGTTGCAAAGGAGTGCAACAGGTGCCACCTGCCCTTTAACTTGACACGACGCAGACACCATTGCCGGGCTTGTGGCTTTGTGTTTTGTGGGTCGTGCTCCGCATTCCAGGTGTCATTAAAGAAGAATGGCCAACCAGAGCGGGTGTGCGTGAGCTGCTACGAGGCCCACAAATAGGAGACATTGAATGGAGGTGCAAAGCAACAATGTGTATACAGTTTGGTAAAGGAGTAGAATGTTGTGCTGCTTTTTGTGTTTATAGGTCACTGTGATCTCACTGTCTACTCTTATTTGGTCATGCGGTAATACCTTGTTTCACACCTCTTTGTGTGTTGAGATGCGTGTTTTGGCACTCTCGCTCAAAGCGCTCTGTACAGTGCTGAGTAGCGATGACTAGTCAACGAACCACAGAAGAAAAGGAAGAAAGACGATGCGAGTGAAGGATCACAGAAAAAAAAAGCTCTGATAATGTGTGAGGGACTGCTGTTGTTCCCTTTTCCTTCTACATGTGGGATGAGAAGAGGCGTACTTTTGCCTCTTTTGATGATGTCACTCTGTGCCATAACCAATTATTTTTCCTCTTTGGTGTAGGCTCTCTTATCATGTCGAGTGGATTGTCGATGTGTGACAGTCTCGGAAGAAACTACCACTTTTTCCCTCTCTTTGTGTTTGTTGTTTGCTTTTTTTGCCACGCCCTGCTTAGTGATTCTTGTGGCCTTCCACACAGGAACCCTAACACACACACACACAGGTTTACAGATACTCCCCGCGAGTGAAAGTCTCTCGTAGTTCTTTTTCAGGGAACAGAAGAGAGTGCGGTAGTGCAAAATAGGTGCCATGGGTTTCTTTGACTCCGACCTCAGCTACCCGACGGTTCGCTCGGAGCGCATGAAGCACAAGCGCCGCCGCTTGGTGCAGGGCCCCAACTCGTACTTCATGGACGTGAAGTGCCCTGGCTGCAACGCCGTCACGGTCGTGTACAGTCACGCCACATCGGAGGTGCAGTGCAGCGGCTGCGCCACGAGGTTGTGCCGCCCCACGGGAGGAAAGGCGATGCTGACGACCGGCTGCGGTTTCCGCAAGAAGCCTGATCACTAAACGGGACGAGATATGGTGTGGATACTCCTGTTCGCACACAGAATCACTATGAGGTTCTTTGCTTTCGTCATTTAAGCTTTTTCTATCTTGAAAGAGAGTTACTGCTCAAGCTTCACCCCTTTGGCATAGGGGTGTGTTGGCTGGTAGCGGTGATGGGGTGCATGAGCATATGTACCCCTATATGTATTCTTCCTTCTGGTGATCACTACTTTTTTTTAGCTGACTCTTCCCCCTTTTTCTTTCTTTTCCTTTTTTGATCAACAAGAAGGACAGAAATCTTGAGAGGACACCAGGTTGGCAATGAGTGGAAAAGATACATCTGTGGTGAGTGATTTAATGCTTGACCGCCTCACGGAACATCTTCGTGAGCCTCCTGTTCCACCCAACGTGCCGGTGTACGCCCTGCCAGACCAGCCGTACCTTGAAGCTACTGTGTTGCCGCTGCTGCTGCGGGGGCTGGAGGAGGTGGCGAAGGCGCGACCGGTCGATCCATTAGCGTTCCTTGCTGCGTATCTGCTGAGCAACAACCTGCAAAGGGGCTCACACCCACTGCTTGGAGACAATGGGCGTCTGGCGCCGCTTCAGGAAATTCCACAACGAGCGACCGATATTATAAGCCGTGCGCCTCGTGCAAATGCGTCGCAAGTGAAATTGTGATATGGTAATAGTGATGGACAGAAGAGTGCACCGAGATATACTGCGACGAAGTATTCGAGGCTGAAAGATATAGAGAAACGGAGCTGAAGATTGTCTTGGATGCTTATCATGTAGAGCAAACGTTAGTGGTGTGCACAGAGGTACCCGGTTTTGCCTTTCATATATATATATTTATATATTCTTCACTTGTACATGCGTACTTTACTTCCCACGCTCAAAGTGCAGTAGGTATTTTTCTGATTCTCATCTTGCTTTTGATTGGAGTAGTTGCTAGGGACTAGAAAAGTAAAGGAATTAAAAGAAGAAAACTCTTGTGGTGAAACCCCTTTTTTGTTTCAAATGACAGAAAACAAGGGTTCAGAGTACGACCGCGGTGTCCAAGAGGCAAGGCGACACCGCGCCCGTACGGAGGACAATTGGTTGCGTGCGAGCCTCGGACCCTTGTTATGGTTTGGCGTGCCGTTTGCCGTTGCATGGGCACTATTGCGTCGGCAAGGACCGACAGGAAACAGTTCAAATCCATTTGAAGGCATGATGGAGCAAATGATGCCTATCAAGAAGCGCCAATTCCGCGTTGATGTTAAGGGTACCAAGTTCAACGACGTGATTGGCATCCCCGAGGCGAAGATGGAGGTACGGCAGTACGTTGACTTTCTCAGAAGCCCCAACAAGTTCACTCGGCTGGGCGCGCGGCTNCCCGAGGCGAAGATGGAGGTACGGCAGTACGTTGACTTTCTCAGAAGCCCCAACAAGTTCACTCGGCTGGGCGCGCGGCTTCCGCGGGGTTGTTTGCTCACTGGGGAACCGGGTACAGGGAAAACGCTCCTGGCAAAGGCCGTTGCCGGTGAGGCTGATGTGCCCTTCTTCAGTTGCAGTGGTTCTGACTTTATTGAGTTAATGGGTGGAAGTGGACCGAAGCGTGTTCGAGAATTGTTTGAAGAAGCGCGAAGTGCTGCACCAGCGATTGTATTCATTGATGAAATTGACGCTATTGGCTCCCGGGCGGGGAAGCAGGGCGGCTCTGTCAGCAGCGAAGAGAATCGGACCATCAACCAGCTCCTCGCGGAGCTCGATGGTCTTAGCACTGGCTCTGATGCTGTTATTGTGATGGCTGCGACGAACTTTCAGGATAACATAGACAAGGCACTTCTGCGTGAGGGCCGCTTCGACAGGAAAGTTAATATTGAAATGCCTGACAAGGCGGCACGCGTGGAGATTTTCAAGCACTACTTAAGCCGTGTAGGAACGGGCGACCCAAATGGGCGGATAGTGGACGAGGATGGATTGAAGTTGCCGGTGAGCGACAGTATTAGCAACCTCAACTTGGCAACTGAGCTCGCTGACCTGACACCTGGTATTTCTCCTGCGACGATCGCAGCGATTGTAAACGAGGCGGCACTCCAGAGTGGTATACGCGAGAAAAAGTTGGTGGAAAAGGAAGCCATTCTTGAAGCAATCGACAATACATTGGTGGGCCGCAAGCACCGCAACCGTCAGAGTGAGGCGTCCCTGCGAAGGACGGCTATCCATGAAGTAGGCCACGCACTGACGGCGTGGATGCTCCCAACGGTGAAGAAGGTAATGAAGGTCAGTGTGGTGCCGCGCGGTAAGGCGCAAGGCTACACACAGCGTGCAGGGAGTGAGTACCACGAGTACCAGACAAACGCGACGCTCTTCGCGGACATGGTGGTGATGCTTGGCGGTCGTGCGGCAGAGGAGACACTGTTAGGAGATCCATCCGCTGGAGCAATGGATGACCTTCAGCGTGCCACCGACATTGCCCTCAAGAAGATGATGGTGTTCGGTATGGATGCTGGTGCTGGGCTACTGTCGTATCACCCTGAGTCAACGCAGGCGGGGCGTATCTTTGTGAGTTTCTCAAACACTGCACAGCATATTGCGGAGGAGGAGGCCATGAAACTTGTTTCCCTTGCCCATAAGGTGGCAGTGGAAATAATCAAGGCGAACACGACGAAAATTGAGACCGCAACAGCAGAGCTAATGACTAAGAAGGAAATCATGACGGCAGACCTGGAGCGGCTGTGGGGAGGGCGACCACTAACACCAACGGTGGATCAACTCGTAGAGAAGCTCATGGTCTTACAGCAGCCGCCGCAAAAACAAGAAGCAACACCAGATACCTGCTAATATTATGGGGTAGAGGACGTGTGTCTTTTTTACATCATGAGTGTGTATTTTTTTCGGTGTGTCTGTGCATTTGTGTTCTGTGTCGGTTTGTTGGTTTGACACATGCTTTGTGTGTTGGGGGCGTTGAAGCAAAGTAGGAAGTGTATGTATGTGCGCTGCCGCGCAGTTTTGTCAANCATCTATCAGAATTCTATTGATCATTATTAGCGGTGCATTTCTCTGCCAGAGACTTATCTTTCTACGCTTTCCTTGTGACTGTCGCTGATTTCCTCAGTGCACTCTTTGGTGGTAATTGCCCTTTTTGCCGCTGTTAATTCTTCATGTTGCTTTTCCCTCTACCAGGTGCTACTGCCAACGACAACATCCACGAAGGGGAGACTTCTTTGTTAAAGGAAGTTTCTTAAGAAAGAGAAGCCGAGTCCAGTTTCCCACTTCCCTCGCGTTTTCTCCAGCTAAACACACATACACAAACACCGCAGCACAGAGAGTCATGTCGAAGATCCCCCCAGCTCAGCTCTCCGAGGCCATCCAGGCTGTCCTCACTGCCCGCAAAGAGCGCAAGTTCAAAGAGAGCATTGACCTGCAGGTCAACCTCAAGAACTACGACCCACAGAAGGACAAGCGCTTCTCCGGTTCAGTGCGTCTTCCGCACGTCTGCCGCCCGCGCATGACCGTCTGCCTGCTGTGCGACCTCGTGCACGAGGACGTCGCCAAGAAGAACAACGTGCCGAC